CTCCCAGATCTCCAGATGCATTTGAGATATCAAAAAAGTACTCCAGAGTGTTGTTCAGCATGGGGGTGAGTAGAAAATGAAGACTAATCATGTTTTGGGTGTACTATTCCTTTAAACTTTTTGGGAAGGAAGGTGAATGAATGAAAAGTAATATCTCTACTGATATTATGACTTTAGAGACCCAGTTAGGTTTAAAATGTAAGTTCATGGGTGTACTTGACTAAGGAGCTGTAATGCTGTGGGATTTTTTTCCTTTCCTAAAGCCACGCAACAGCTATGGAAGTGCATGGCAGGAAGGACTTTAAAAATACCTGCATGTTTTGGACCGAAGCATGGTCTTTTCCAGTACTGGAATGGATGTCGTTCAACATGGGCTGAGTAGAAGAGGAAAAAGCATCAAATAAGAACCAATATTATGGCAAACATATAGAAAGAGCCTTGTGAAGAAATATAAGTGAAGATTTTTTGTGGTGGAGGGGCGGCCTAGTGGGTAGGGCATTACGCTTGGAATCCAAAGGTTGTGAGTTTGAGCCCCACTTCCACAGACTGCCACTCTGGGTCCCTGAGCAAAGACCTTTAACCTCACACTTCTCCCTGGGCGTGGCACAATGGCAGCCCACTGCTCCCCAAACGGAAGGATAAATGCAGAGGTCATTTCGTTGCTCTGTACTTATTTAATGTAATTAATTAATTTATTTAACAGGGACAGATTTCATTAAAAAAGCATTCCTGCAAATGCACCACAATTAGCCAAAAGGCTATTTTTCATCTGTTGTCCCTGGACAGATCTTAAAATTGTCTACCTAAAAAAAACATAACAGTAAGCAGTTTACAATGAAAAATACAAATATAAATAAAATAAAAACAGCTATAACTCTTTAAAACTGACTTAAAAATACAGAATAAATGTTCTTTGGACTACAGATTTTAGGTTTATGACAGTGTAATGATAATAAAAAATCTGGAAAAAAAAAAAATCATCCTCTGCAAAGTTTTTTTAAGAGCCGGATGCCAGTTATTCTGGTACTCCTAATTTCCCAGATTTTAATTCATCTATATATTGGTTAGTTTTAAAATATTTTAAAGTGAAGTGTAACATTTTTTTTTAAAGTTTTTACCAGCAGCACCAGTAATTTTTTCAGTATTTAGTATTAATGTGGGAACATAACTTTTTTTTTTTAACATATCAGTTGCTCTCTACCCATTCTACTAAACAGACAAACTTTATAAAAAAGAGGTAAACATTTGAGAGAGAAAAAAATCCATCTTAACATTACAAGATGGTTTTTTTATGGTTTAAATGCTCTAAAATGTTACATATATTTGCTCTAATTTAAGTGTTTAAAGACACACAAGCTGGGCTCAGGAAACACAGGTTTGGGAGGATGATGGAGAGATACTGGTGAGTGATGCAGCAACATTGTGGCCCCTCCCACCGTCTCATCACGCCTAATTTCTAACATCACACCACTATTCTAAGCCCCGCCCAATGCCAGCTACTTAAATTGTCCTGAGATGCGACACAGAGCACAGAGGATTTTTACCGGCTTCCACACCGGCCATCATTTTCCACAACTAGACCTTTTAAACCGACAGAACTCACCGCTAAAGCCTCATATCTCCCCTCCATCTTCAAACCTTCGCTCTTTGTTTATTTTTGCTCTCTGAGAAAGAACAGGACATGTCTGGGGTGTGGAAGGGACTGTCCACATGCTGGTGTCTGTTGATGCTGATTCACTGTCTGGCTCAAACAGGTAGGACATTTTATATAGATATTTATATAAAAGGAAGATCGTTTTGTAAATGATTACAGGCTTTTATATCAAATCTCACTGATGCCGAATAAATAACCGCATGCACATTATAAATAAAATGCAGTATTTAAGTATTTATTAAATCTCATTCTTGTTCATTTGAATTGAATTAATTTGAATGTAATGAATTAAACACTGCATGGCAGTTAAGTTTTACTTATCTCTATATGTTTTATACGCGTTTATGTGGTGGATTTCCAGCAGAAAGCGAAATATAATGCGAAAAGACCTTGATGAGGTTTGTGTTTCAATGAAACATACGCACAGCGCTCTGATTGGCTCATTCCGGTATCGAATTCTCCTTTTAGCCAATCAGATTCACGGATTCGAGTTTTCGTTTCAAAAGTGGGCGGAACAAAAACTTTGACAGTTTTCTAAGGAAGGAAGTGGCTAGAAAACCAGGCATCCCATTTTAGCTGCACTTATTTCGACAATGCAACTTCACATGTAGAAGAAAACGTTTTAAATACAGAGAAGAATATTTATAAATATTTTTTTTCAAACAGTATTATTAGTTAAAACCCCCAATTATGTATCTGAGATAGATGCTTGAATGTATATTAAACAGATACTTGTATATAGATTAAGATTATTTTTAAACTATATTTATTTTCACTGTATGTAAAAACTCTAGATGCAGTGGATGACAGGTTTTTTGTGACTTAGAGCAGTACATTTAGCAGCTTTTATATCTAAAATATATGACTTCATTATACAGATGATTGATAAATGTAAAGGACAAAATAAAATGCAATCTTTTCAGGCTGTATAATTCATCATGCATTGCTGAAATTGTTTATTATTAGTAATCTAAGTAATAAAGGGTTATCAAATCGAAGACAACCCATCAGTCTGTATGTGAAAGGAAGGAATGGTCTTTAGCTGGTTGCTATTGATCCAGATTAACAGCTGCTTTTCAGTTATCCCCCTAATGATCTTTGCTCTCTTGCAGGAATTTTCCCCAGTCTTTTCTATTCTGCTTGGCTGCCCCTCATTTCCAGTCATCAGATTTTCCAGACTGTCTCTCTTTCTCTGTTTTGCTCTTTTCAAATCTGTGTTCTAGAGAGAAGCAAATCTAGCTCAGGTTATTTAATGTCATCTAACAGTCTGTTGGACATCTTACTTTATTTATTTTACTGATTTGAGACAAATAATCTTTACTTTAATCCAAATATTTATTTTTGTAGTAATTAATATTGTTAATTGCTGTTCTTTTAGCCACAACGTTAGAACTAGAAATTTACCATTTACCCAGAAACCTGTTTAGTTTAATAGGCTCTGAGTGAAAATCAGTAGACATCATTTTGAACATTTTTATCTTAATGTTTTATTTCATTAAATACATAAAAACTACAAACGACCACGTTTTTCACTCTATAAATGCACCAACCTTTAGACCTTGCTATTCCTTAATTTCCTTTTTTCCGGATAATAAAAAAAATGCACAATCGTTCACAAAGAGTAACTTATTCTTTTGGGTTAAACTCGAACCTCAACACCATGCATTAAATGGATGGATCCATATTTTATCCAAAACTCGTCAGCAAACCTTCTCTAATTGTTTTCTTCTTAATCAACCACATATTAGAGCTTGAAAGCCCCTGGAAAGACAAAAAAACCCCCCTCAGTTTCATCCACCCATTCATTAGCATGAACTCATTAATCAGTGACTTCTGTAAACTTTTCAATAAAAGCTCAGCTTAGATGCTTACCCAGCGTGATGTATACACCTGCTGCTTATTTATTAGCTGCTGGGCGTGTTTTTGACAACATAAAAGCGCCTCTTTGTGTAAGGGCTCAGGGTGCGCATACTACATGCATTTGTCTTTGAATAACAGGAATACATTGTGCCGATACAAGGGAGGAGTGTTGGGGCGTCAGGTCCAGACAACTTGTCAAACCACTCCGCTGGTTTCTGCTGTCAAACTGGTCGCGGCTTAAATGCTTAGTCAGCTGAAGGTCGGAGTTAGCGCCTGGACGTAGAAATGCCTTACATGCCATGTAATGACTTTATAGGTTGTAAAATTTCTTCTGCAGATGAAGCGCTTCTTTTTACAGCATCCCATTCAAGGTGATGATTAAAGCAGCACTTTTATGGTCTCAAATTAAGCTTCTGGTGTTTTAAAAGTTTGCCACATTACATGAATTCTTCTGAACAGTACATTTTATAAACATGTATGGTGTCGGAGTCTAAATTGGAGGTTAATTACAATTAAAAAGAGCTATTTAATCTTGATTTAAGAGCTTTAAAACGGAAGAGTTTAAAATAGCAGCTGCAATGAATAGCAGTGGGAAAAAAAGAAAAGTTGGTGTTGGGGGTTTATATTTCCTGGCCGTGACGACATATGTGACCCACTTTAAGTCCCTTCATCCTGGTGAAGTCCAAAAAAGGGAAAAGAGAGTGGAAATTTTTTTTTCAATTTGAAAACAGAAGGAGTTGATGTGTAAATCTAGCTTCTTATACTCCCCCCACCCACCAATTACCATCACCCCTTGATGTGCACGTCTCTGTGTGTTTCAGGCTCCTCAAAAAGCATACAACTGTTTTTGACAGAGGAAATAAGTTTATTTCCACTAATCAGAGGAATGCAGCTAAGAAGCAGTGAGGTATTTCTTGGTGGCAGTATTGTGAAAGCGTCCTCTAACAGTCATTTATTGTAGGAAGCTGTCAAACCTGTCTCGTGGTTTTTGTTTCGCCACACCGATGCCGGCGGCTTGACAGGCGACCTGGTCTCTATAGGCTTTTTGCAGGGATGTTGTTGTGAGGAATGCCACCCCGGGGCCAATCAGCAACTGGTGGTGTGATGGCTCAACTCCTCCCATGCTATTGTCTTAAAGGAACAATCTGACTACGTACCCAGCCTCCAAAGTAACAGGAGGCATAAAAAAGGAAGTGCAAACAGTGATGGAGGACGATGAGCGCGGTCCCTGTCTATTTTACCTGTGCTATGATGATGATGATGCTTTGCCTGCTGCGATCAGCTCCTGATAAGTCCTTTAAACTTGAAATAAAGCACTTTAAGTCATAAACTTTTAAACTTTACCCCTGGTTAGTGAGTCTATTGCTACAACATCCTGGTTAAAAAGTAACTCATCTTCCGTATTGGCAATAAAGTTGGTGCTTTGTTCCCGAACCGTGGTAAAAATACAAGCTGCTCTTCAATAAATATTTTCATTTCATTATTGACAAAGTAAACATGAACGAATTGACAGAGTTAGACAATATAAGCTAAAGGGCAGCAACAGGTAAAAACATGGATTGTTTAAGAAGCAAGAATGTTTTCAATGAGGTGTCCATGACAACGTAAGGCCTCCATTCTGTGGTCCTTTCCTGGGATAAAAAGTATCCCACCTCAAAGACGAGCCACAGTCTGTGAGGTCAGGTTGTCTTTTTTTAGTGGGGCAACATGCTGCACCACAGTTATGCTCCAAGCATGTTTCCCTTCAGCGGCCAGAAAAAGCTGAGATGAATTGTTTCCATGGAAAAACTGAATACAGATCATCCTAAATGGGGAAAAAAACTTTCCAGAAGGAAATCTCTGTTGTAAAAAATGTAGGGAGGCAATGACTATCGACTGACTTGGTTTGTTTGTCGCATGGAAGGTAAAGTATCTGTAGAATTGGATTCATTTTGCTCCTAAATTACATTAATTTCCATTATTGGACTTATTTTCTTCAGAAATACACATTAAATTTGTTGTTATTCCATCTGAGGAATAAGGAAGTTATTTCAAGCAGTGGAAAATCTAGAGGGTTTAGATCAGAGATCGGCTCTCTATAATGCCTCTTAATACGTTTCTCTAAATGCCTCTAAAATGATATAAAGAACTAACTAATATACTTTACTTACAAATACCCGTCTTAGGAGCTTAAGTGGTTTTTATAAAGAATATTTGACCTGAATTTTCATAACAGAATGACATTTAAAGAATCAGATATATGTTTTAAGAACCAATTTTCTTTTAATTAGCTTGGAAATTATGTTTTCTCATTATTTAAAAGCTAGAACTGACAAACTTTCAGTTGTTTAAGATTTCAACAGATTCCCTTTGAAAGATTTTTGATAAAAATTATAGTTTTTTTTTAATTAAAAAGTAATGTAATAGTTTAAAGTTGATTATTTTTGCCTACTCCGACTCTCTGCTCTTTGTATATAAAAGGTTGCAGGCCGCTGGTTTAGAAGATGACTTTTACTTGCAGACTGTAAAAGTAGTTGTTGCTCTGAAACTCAGTTGAGTTCTGGTCTGTTGATTTTTCCAACTTTAAACTGTAAATGTTCTCCTTCAGCCTTTAAATCTATTGCACAGCTTCTCCTTCTAGGTTCTCCCATGATTTTATGTTAATTTTATCTTGCTCAACCATGATTCACATTTTAACGTAATTTGGTAATCTCCAGTTAGTTAAGCAACAATTTAAAGGTGTGGTTTTTCACACTGTTCCTTCCTTATCTGAACTTCTGGACCATTTCGATTGAAACTGGTCTAATGTGTGCAGTTTTGAATGAAACATTAACCCAAAGAGGATGTGAGGCGTGTTGACACAAGCTAACGCTGCTATAAGAGGCCTTTTATCCGGTGGATGAAAACCATGCTGTGCATGCTGATAACATCTAGAGTCTGTAAATGTAAATGTGTTGGCTTGTCCTCCTGTGACACTACCGTCTCCTGTGATCCGCAGATGCAGCCTTTACCTGTAGCTCTGCTCAGTTAAAGTGTGGAAATGGCAGATGCATCACCCGCAGGTGGATCTGTGATGGAACCAACGATTGTGGCGACGGGACTGATGAGCTACCATCTGTCTGCTGTATGTTCATTTTTCCTATCACCACTGCTCTCAATATAGAACAACGTTTACAAATTTCCACCTTAATTGTTGATTCCCTCCTCAGCGGCCAAAACCTGCATGGACTCCCAGTTCAACTGCGGGGCTCCTGTAAATCAGTGTATACCAAAGAGCTGGCACTGTGACGGCAAAGCCGACTGTGACAACGGAGCTGATGAGACGAACTGCAGTAAGTATCCCACCAAAAAAACAAAATTTTTTTTTAATCAGGTGACAAAATGCAGCACATTAATCAATAACACTGAATTAGTCACAGTGATTGAGAGATCATTTACAGGTAAATGGTATTTAGACAGACTTGATTTATTTCCAGTAAAGACAGGTCAAATTGGGGAAATTACAAAATCCACTGAACATAATATTTCTACTCTGGATTGCTGTTAAGCAACATATAAAGTGGTTTCCATGATCTCTGGCTGCCCTTTGTTAACCATGACGCAGTTAAATGCATCCGACTTTTACCTTAGTAATATTATACTCAACTTAAACTGACACAAAAAGTAAGGCTATCTTGATCCAATATTGATTTTAGAAATCGGTCTGATGTCAGACAAAAAATGAATATTGGAATATACTGGCCTGCCTCTAAAATCTGATACTAAAACAGTTGATAGAAACACTTTGTTTCTATCCACTGTTGTTTAACATTTATGTCACTCTTTGATGAGCAATAAATGGGTCATTTTTTCATACCTGATAAGTGCATTTCAGAAATACCACTTGATCAAACATTTTCTATGATTTCACGCTATAAAATAAGCAATAAAAGTATGTAAAATAAGCAATGAAAGTATGTATGAGTTGTATCGGGTCAATATTGGTATTAGTCGGAAAAAAATCCCCATTACAAAGCCATTAAATTAGTAATTCAGGATTTCCTGTTGTGTGGGGTGCAAACATGACTTATCTGCGACCTTTTTCTCTATGCAACACTGCAAAAAACATTTTTCATTTTTTCTTAAAATAAGTGCAGTTTTTTTTTTTTTCAATTGAGGTGGTAAGTGAGATGCGTTGTTAATGGAACAAGACAAGTTACATTTAAAAAAAGAAAAAAAACAATTGCATTGTCTTACTTTAAGTGCATATTATCTAATTATCTTCTTTTAAGAGTAAAAAAAAAAAAACAAATTTCATTGGCAAATGATCTTATTTACTTACTAAAATTAAGGGTAAATACCCTTAATTTAGGAAATATTTATATAGTTTTATAGTTTCACTTTTAAAATTGGGTAAGATGAGATTTCAGGCAGGTTATCATCAAGAGTGAGGAAACATCAAGAAAACCAGTACTCACCTAAATCTGCCATTAACTACAGACAAAGAAATGTCAGATCATAAAACTGTGACACATAAGCGAGGATAAAGCGCAGCCCACAGTTATTCAGGAGGAGGGTGAAGGATTCCCCAAATGTTTAAGCCATTGTGAACCTAAGCGAAGTGTAGCATCCTTTAAAATGTTCCACATTTTGCCCGGGGTGCTATGTGTGTTAATTTGGATGCATAGCTGCAACAGCATGCTTTTTTAAAAATTGAGCTTTTAGATTGCTGCACTGGTTCAAAATAACACGTCTGCATGGTACCTGTAGTTTTACCACAAAGCAGTCTGTACTTTCATTCAAAAGTAACCTAAATCTAATGTTCAGCAACAGCATAAGTTTTGAATTTCTCCTTTGTTGGAATAATAATTCTGTCATCTCATTCATTTCTTCTTCTTCCTTTAACTTCAACACAGCTGCAAAACAATGCAGACCTGAGGAGTTTAGGTGCAACAACGGCCAGTGCATATCCAAGAGCTTCGTGTGCGACAAAGACGACGACTGCACTGACGGCTCAGACGAGACGACGTGTCCCGAGCCCACCTGCAGCCCTTCTTCCTTCCAGTGCAACAATTCTGCATGTGTGCCATTGAACTGGAAATGCGACGGAGACAGCGACTGTCTGGATGGGTCTGACGAGTGGCCGGTGAACTGCCAGGGGAGGGAGACGGAGAAGAAGCAGTCGAGATGTGCGGCTCATGAGTTTGAGTGCATGAATGGGGAGTGTATACACAGTGGATGGAAGTGCGATGGAGCTCCAGACTGCTCGGATAAATCCGATGAATTGAACTGCAGTAAGTCTGAGTTATACTTGATCCCTCTTAGTGTAATTATTTTTTTTGTTTGTGGAGTTTTCTAAGCGAATATGTGAATTTTCAGGTCGGCCAACTTGTCATGATGGTCAGTTCCAGTGTGCCAATGGCGTCTGTATTACGGAAAACCTGAGGTGTAACTCGGTGAATGACTGTGGAGACAATAGTGATGAGAGGAGCTGCCCAACAGGTGAGGCTCTCGATGAAAAGTATTTTTGCAAGGCAACATATCTGTATACAAGAGGAGGCATTTTTTTTCTTCTCAAGGCCTAATGAATGTCCCCAGTTTTCGCTCTGCAACCTCACGTTATGAAACTTAATTAAAGGTTCCCACTTTTGTGTTTTGCTTCCATAGACGATGTGTGCGAAGGCCCAAGCAACTTCAAGTGTGGCAGTGGGGAGTGCATCAGCATGGAACAAGTGTGTGATTCAAAGAGGGACTGCATAGACGAGTCTGATGAACCAGTTGTGTGTGGTAAGTTACCTTCTGGTCAAACATCCTCCAAACACAAAAAGTATAGCTACCAACCAGCTGCTATGAGGAATTACCCGACATATTTATTTTAACCACTGATGTCCACAGGCCAAAACGAGTGTTTAATGGGAGAAAACCGCTGCTCTCATCAATGCAATGATCTGAAGATTGGTTACAACTGCTCCTGTCCTGCTGGCTACAAACTGAAGAGTGACAACAGCACATGCGAAGGTACAAAAAGAAAGTGTTCTTAAGGTCCAGGGTGTAAAAAGCGACTAAATACACCTCGCTTCAGACAATCCAGACTGTTTTCATGTGTTGTTCCAAGATAGTGGAATGACCTACCAAGCCCCGTCCCTGTCTATCATTGGGAAACCTATAAAGACCAACCTCTTTAAACAGCATATCCTATCCTAACTCTTACCTATACCTCTGTACCACTCTACTACCCATTTTGCACTTCACACTCTTTCTTTTTGCTGTAAACACTGATTCTGTCTAGTGATTTTTCTCTTGAGAACTTATTGTCATGTTGATGATAACTGTAAAATTGTGTCTACCTTGTAAGTCGCTTTGGATAGAAGTGTCTGCTAAATGCATAAACATCTCTAAACTGGATTATTGAATAAATCTGTTGTTCTCAACACTATCTCTAGTTTATGTCTCCAGTGCACTAATCTCTGGAAAATGTATTTGTCCATCTGCAGACATTGATGAATGCATTGTGCCAGACACCTGCAGTCAGATCTGCATCAACCGGCCTGGAACTTACAAGTGTGAATGTGACGCCGGCTATGAGGTTGATCCAGTGAGCAAAACATGCAAAGCTGAATCAGGTAACCAGGCTGTTCTCTTGTACAACCATATTCTGTTTTCCCTAAAGTCCATTGTACAAAATACACAAACACTTGATAGCTCTCTCTGAAAGCTAAAACGACTGCTTGTTTGCATTTTCCGCAGGCACAGTGGCCACGCTGTTCTTCACCACCAAGCATGAGGTCAGGGAACTCGCAGTGGACCACAGTGAGTATGTCCGGCTCATCCCGGAGCTGAAAAACGCCATGGCTCTCGATCTGGACATGCCCAACAAGAGGATCTTCTGGTCGGATCTGTCTCGGAAAAAGATCTTTAGGTAACTTGAAATATTATTGTTTGCTTAAGAAAAGTTTGCTATCAATTGACCCCTCTAAATACGACAATGCAACACTACAATGGCAATATCTAATGTGCAATTACTACTTGATACCCTGTATACTCTGTTTTTTTTATATATGATACCAAGCTTTTTATATATATATGAATACCCATTTTAATACTGCTAAATAAGAGACTTCAGCTGTCATATATATAGATATGTGTGGATGCACTGTGTATATACCCTATGCACCTTTTCCTCCTTTTAGCACCTTCTTCTTTTCCACTATTGTTCTGATGTAGGGACTAAATTTCTGTAATTTGAGATCAATAAAGTCAATCAATAAACCTGTGCTGTTTTTTTTTTTTTTTTTTCTTTTCCATAGCTCGAATATAGACGTTGCCAGCGACTCTGCTAATCACAAAGTGGTGATTGAAAGCGACATTGAAGCCCCAGAAAGCCTGGCGGTGGATTGGATCCATGGCAACATCTACTGGACAGACAGCGCTTTGAAGACCATCTCTGTGGCAACAACAGAAGGCGACAAGAGGAAGACTCTCATCAGTGAGAAACTTGGGAGGCCCAGAGGCATCACCATTGACCCTGAAAATAAGTGAGAATGTCTGACAATTTGACTCCTCTCCGAAAAAACAAGCTTTTTGCTAATTGCTTGTGTTTTTGTAACCTCTTCAGCTTTATGTATTGGACCGACTGGGGCCAGGAGCCTAAGATAGAGAAGTGTGGACTTAATGGAGCTGGCCGCGTTGCCTTGGTGACAGAGAACATTGAATGGCCTAATGGCATCACCCTTGGTAAATAGAGCTCCATGGAAATCCTAGTCAAAACAAAGCGTCATTTCCCTGTCTAATGAGCTTTGATAACCACATTTGTGCCTTTTCTCTAAACAGATATGGTCAACCAGCGTCTTTACTGGGCCGACGCTAAGCTGCATGCAATCTTCAGCGTTGATGTGAGCGGTGGGAGCCGACACACCGTCTTATTTAATGCACAAAAGATCCAACATCCTTTCTCACTGACTGTCTTTGAGGTTAGTGATGAAACTAGTGCTCCACCTTACTGAACCTTGCATGTTATCGTAAATCACCCTTGGATTGTGATCATTCATACAGTATTAAGCATTGTTTTATCATTTAGTACAGATGAGTACATGAATTGAACAAAGCTGTGTTTTTTTTTTCTTCTAAAACAGGAGAGAGTATTTTGGACGGACAGCAACATAGGCAGTGTTTTCAGTGCCAACCGTCTGACAGGAAGGGACATGACTGAGATGGTGACCGGTCTGCATCAGCCGGAGAGCATTGTGCTTTATCACAATCTCAAGCAGCCTATCGGTAAAGATTCTTTTCAACATTTCAATGGCTTGAAAACTTTTGCAGATGCAGATTTAGGAAAAGTATTTCAGTTTTACATTGGTTGTTTTTTCTTGATTCTAAAAGTAGGATATGATCAAAATGTCCGTTCTTATGCTCAGAGCAGCTCGGTTTCGGTTTTGATATATTTTTAGTTTGACGCCACGTACACCTAAGCAAACATTGTTTTGCGGCAACTTGTAGCAGACTCAAATACCCCCCAAGTACGTGCATTTATGCTGATATATTTAACCAATAACAGTAACAAAGTTCATGTAAGAATAAAACAAGCTGTCCAAATTGTGCTGATTTGGTCTAAAAACATTCTTGTGCTGTAGGTTATTCCTGACCTTAACTAGGCCTTATTGTAGCCTATCGATTATTTTTGCTCCTTCGTCTTCTTGGTATATTTGAGTTATTTCATACGATTTATTTGCTTTGCCAAATTCTTGTTACATTTCCAAAGAGGGGATCTGACTGTCAGGTAAAAAGAGAGTTGAATTCTAGATTCAAAAGAGATAAGTTTTAGATTATACCTTCTGTGTCTTATTTAACATGCTTCATATGAGCATATCAATGGCCTTTAGAAATGTAAACATTAAGGTTAGGGAATAGAGATTTTATCGGACACCCAACTGCACTAGGTAGCTGTTAATAAACTCTGTTATAATTCTGAAATAAATTAAACAGTTAAGCACCTTTTTGAGCTTTTAGTAATGGTAATAATAATGTATTTATTCATTTATTTACAAAAGGGTGACAGTTTAAATCATGGTTCAGCTTTGTTGATATTGAGATCTGTTTTTTAAAAAGAAATCCCCAGAAGTGCACTGCTTATGGACAGGAGCCTACAGTTAAAATATACTACAAACAACCAAATGCAGTAACATCCAAAGCAGGATAACATAGAAAGCAATAGCAACAACAACAAACAAAAAACAAAGCTGCAAACAGGACAGAAACAAAAGCCCACCCACAACCCAGATCACACCAAACCCACCGAACAGGATCATATTTTACAGATGGAGCCTGTTACATTTATCCATCCAGTCTGTACACATACTAACATTCAAATCAGATTTAGATAATTATTTATCACTCATAGCAGGAAAACTCAAATAAAATATTCTGAATAGAACTGCACCTAACGATTATCTTGTAAGTCAATTAATGTCTCGATTAATAATCGGATAGCAAAGGGTTCCATAAAGAAGATTTTTAACCGATTAAACCAGGTCAAACTAAAACTTTTCCACTTCAGGAAATCTGGGTGGAGCACAATGAAAGATGAAAAAGAGTTTTTTTTTGTTTTTGTTATTTTAAATGTTAAATGCAAAATATTTATTTTTTGTTACAATTTTGGTATAATTTTTGCTCTAAATAGGTTGCTCTGTCAGCTAAAGGCGTGTTTTTGAGGTTCATCGATTACTAAATTGGTTGACGTTTATTTTAGCGATTTATCCGATTAATTGCTTCAGCCATAAAAGTTCAAAGCTTTTCTGATAGATAAATGTTTTGTGAAATCAATCCCATAACATGCTTTCATTTTAATGTTTTCCTTTAGGTGTAAACTGGTGCAAAGAGGGCAGCAGTGTGAACGGTGGCTGTGATTTCCTGTGCCTTCCTGCTCCTCTGCTTTACGAGAACTCTCCTAAATACACCTGTGCCTGTCCAGACAACATGATCCTGGCTGCTGATATGCAGAAATGTGTGACAGGTATGTTTCCTCTGTACAAACATTTAAAAAGCCTTTCATGCTGAGAATAACTCTCATACTCTGGTTTCTCCTATGTGCTCAGCTGCAACTCCTGCTAGTAGCAGGACTGTCGCGTCCAAAACGATCACCAGCCGACCATCTACATCTAGAACCACCAAAGCTGCTGAGATGCCCAGAACGAGCTCGTCTGTACAGTCCAGGCAGAACACTGAGGCGCCTGCTGGTACCGCTCAAGGTAAACTAAGATTGGAGGATAAATGAGGAATAAATTACCTGTTCAAAAAGACTAAAATTAAAACCATGGAAATAACACAAACTCTAATTTCTAATTTCCCATATTTTTTATTTATTATAACAGAAAAGTAAAGACATGTGATGTAAAGTGTTTTTGCTTTCGTTTGCAGGTTTCCAACATGCAGTGATGCCTGAAGAAGCTCCTGCATCTCACCCTGTCGCTCTCTACGTTTTTCTGCCAATCTGTAAGTTTCACTCTTCTTCTGCCCCTTATTAAACCTGCTAAGCTAAAGTTTTAGTGTAGGCGGCTTTTTTTATTGCCTGCCTTTCTTTCTAATCTGAACCTCATGGATGCGTTTTCCTCTTTTGTTCCTGCAGTGGCCATAGTGCTGGTGTGTGGAGCAGTGTTTTTCTGGAGACACTGGCACAGGAAGAACACCAACACCATCCACTTCTCCAACCCCGTGTACCAGAAGACCACCGAGGACGAGGTGCACATCTGCAGGAACGGCTCTGACGGCTACGTCTATCCAGAGGTAGTTAACGTTGGTCTCTGTTAACGGCTTCAGCTTCGAAGCGTCTAAACTATCTCCTTTATCTCATTGTTTTTTTTTGTTTTTGCAGAGGCAGATTGTGAACATAGACGACGTCGATTTTCAATGACCTGAAGAACTTTTTGGACTTGGAGAAGTTTAATTTTTTACCTCTGGGTGAAATAAATGGATGCTTTAAAATCCATTCTCCCATCCTGCCTCCCAGAACCTCAGATTAATGGTTTATTTTTCCAACCTCAGCCCCCCACCGTCCAACCCTGCAGAGCAGCACAACATTAAAAGATGATGCTTATTATCAGGAAGCTTTGACTCTTTTGATGTGATTTAAGGACGCTCTCATCTCTGCAAGATCCTCTTCATCTCGCTCATTTTCTGTTTCATACTTTTGCAGTAATGGAACCGACTTTTGGGTTCGTTGAAGAAAAGTTTTCCTCGTACGTTTCGTTTTGACCATTTTTCAGTGGTAATATTTCATACCCACTTTGACAACCAGTTATTTCATTCAAATTCAAATTTTCTCTTCTCTGCTAGTTTTCTCTGAAGAAGGGTTTGATCTGAATCTTACAGGATAAAATAATATTAACATTCAATTAGATTCTAGTAGAGAATTGAGCATTTGAATTAGATCTAATAAATGAAAACCTAAACTGGTTTGTTTATGGGAATGAAACAGACGTACGGGCTAAATGAGAAGACGTGGGTCTGATAAGGTTTTCCTGGACTGAGGAGGGAGTGAACTGATCTGAAGACATCTGAAACTCACATATGACCTTTAATCTATTTATTACCCAACGCCTTTTTTATTGCACTGCAGACTTGAATGTCCTCAACTGCAAAGTCTTACCAATTCCTGTGTGCCTTGTAATGACACTAGTAGTTGGAAGGAATGAATCAGAAGCCTTATCAATCCGTCTGCCTTTCAAGCTCCGGACTTTTTTTTTCTCACTTGGAAAAACAGGGTTGTGAGTTTTCATTTTCTCACGAGTTGCACAGCCTCTAGGTTTTTACCTGTTTGTTTTTTTATTGTCTTTGTTTTCATTTTGTCCATTCTCCAAATCACCTGCAGCTGTTTAAAGCCACAGGTGGTTTACATTTTGAAATGAAGAAGCTGCTGAGTCTTTTTTTTTTTTTTTTTTTGACATCAACCAAAGTGAAGAAAATGTTCATTTTTGTTAACTGTTAATAGCTGTATATAATATTTTGTAAAATGTCAGCTCTGCTCCATTGTTCACCTTTGTAAATTTGTGATTGTCTTATTTATTAATGGAGGGTTCACAGCTGTCTGTAAGTGGAGTAAATATTATCTCGAAAGGTGAAGTCCGACCTGAACACTGTGCAGCTATAATTTAACTGATGTCAGTGAAGCTTTGAATGCTTGATTGAATGCAGGAGGGTTAAAAGAGCGACTCTTTATGGTGTTGCAGTGAGAATGAAGAGACCTCCTGTTCCTCTTTCCATTGTTTGTCGTCTCTTTCTCTCATGACTCAGATTATTTATTGCGCCTTTTCTGTTCTGTTACTGTAATGTTCTGGGAATGACGCGACACCAGCCTTTAGTGCAACTCTTATCCTGCTGGCTTACATCTGTTAAATGAAGCATGGAAAAAAAAAAACTAAACTAAAAAAACAGAAATAGTACAGTAGAGAATATTTTATTATATTTTACATGCACAGCAGTCGTGTGAAATACCAGTTGCATACCAGTTTTGGTTGATATACAAATTTAATGGAGGATTAGGTTGGAAATTGGACGTTCTTACTTCTAAATTGAACTCAAATGTAAAATAAGATGTCGCTTTTTCTCAAAGCATGATGTTTGCTTTCACTGTGGAATGAAAGTTGAATTTTGTGAGGTCGATGCACAGCATTCTGCTTTATGTCACTTTGTTCTCTTGCTCAATTTGTTTTCAATAAAAGAGTTTTGAATATTTACTGGGTCTGTTTTCTTGGGTCCTTAAATACTGGTCATCATACAGGGGATGAGTCCTATCCCTATGGGGAACCTAGACGGTTCATTGGTCTAATATGATTAGTCTATTGCTGGGGTCTGCAACCTGTGGCTCTTTGGACCCGCTACAAAGGCTCTTAACATAAAAGCTAATGGTTTTAAATATAGCATATTAACAAATACTATTCTTAGAAGCTTTTTCAGATTTTCATAAATAACTGTTTATTATTATGACATAAAATAATATCCTAAAGAGGAAAATCCATGCTTCCTCTTTATGAAATATTAGTTTTTTATCCTTATTTTCAACCCTGTAAAACCTAAACCATTAAACAACTGACAGAAAAGGGTTAAAAAGAGTTATTATTGAACATCCTGACACCCAAAAAATATTTTAATTCTGAATAACTTAAATTAGAGACATTATTTATGTCTGTTTTAATACATTAAGCATCTTTATTTTTGTCTCATTGTATAAATCAGTTTTTCAAGAACATACCAATCTCGCTGATCATGTGGAGGCTTGAAAAGCTCAAATTTGATTTTGTGTTAAAGGATTGAAAACTAAATATAAAAATAAACTTTTTTTTTTATAAAACAGCAACAGATCTCATATTGCAGATAAGAAAAACACAGAGTTTTTTTATATATATATATATATATATATATATATATATATATATATATATATATATATATATATATATGTATAGTTTGTTTTGGCTCTAAATGACTTGGGACGTTGGGTAATAAATAGATTAAAGGCTGCAGATCCTATTGGTTTAATCAATGGGAAAAGCTGATTAACAGACAGAGAAGGGATATTCTTCACTGGCAAAACTAAGGATTATTAAACTTATCTTGCCTGGTATTAACGTCCTTTCTTTTCATTTAATAAACTAAATAAAACTGAGAACCAAAGGGTATGTCGATTTTACTTTCCGATTCCTCTTGTGTTTCTAAACCACCAGTTGATCAGTGGAGAGGCTATTTTCATTCTCTGCAGCAAACTAAGTCAAAACTAAAACACTTACTGTAAAATAGGGCTAAGAAATCCACTGATGAAACTATTGTAGTTGTTTATACTAAATGATCAATTGCACAATATTTTGCAGTTTTTTTTCAAAGAAGTATTTCACAAAGTTGAAGCACACAGAAAAAATTATCTTTGACTCTTGAAGGTTGATTTTAAAAAGCCTTTTTACTGTTGATCACAGTAGTAATTTGTTTACGCTAGAAAGCCAGTGTAGGTTCTTCATGATGGCAAACATTCTAACAAGGCTTGAAGAGAAGAAAACGAATCCATTCAGCATCACATATCCTTCACTACCTACTTAACTGTGGGAATAAAAACCATGAGACATTCATTTCCTTGTTTTAAGCTGAACTCACCTTAAATTGTTTTTGTTGTATGCGTTAAAGAAGCAAATGTCATGAGAATCTGTGGATTCTGTGGAATCTGTGTCCTTCCAGAACATCTCTCATTTGTTATCAGGGCTTGGTTTTTTTTTTTGGTTTTTTTTTACAACTTCACTGAAATCACACATCCACCATGCTGAGATTCTGGCTGTTCTAAAAAAACTTAATATGATGACAGTCCAGTTACTTACACTACCGTTCAAAAGTTTGGGGTCACATTGAAATGTCCTTATTTTTGAAGGAAAAGCACTGTACTTTTCAATGAAGATAACTTTAAACTAGTCTTAACTTTAAAGAAATACACATACAGCACAAACAGGCTACTGCGGGTACTATTTAATGAAGATGCCAGTTGGGGACCTGTGAGGTGTCTGTTTCTCAAACTAGAGAATCTAATGTACTTATCTTCTTGCTCAGTTGTGCAACGCCGCCTCCCACTTCTTTTTCTACTCTGGTTAGAACCTGTTTGTGGTGTCCTCTGAAGGGAGTAGTACACACCGCTGTCGGAAACCTTTATTTTCTTAGCAATTTCACGCATGGAATAGCCTTCATTTCTAAGAACAAGAATAGACTGTCGAGTTTCAGATGAAAGTTCTCTTTTTCCATTTTGACCCCACAAATGTAATGCTTCAGAAACTCAATCTGCTTAAAGGAAGGTCAGTTTTGTAGCTTCTGTAACGAGCTAAACTGTTTTCAGATGTGTGAACATGATTGCACAAAGGTTTTTTTAATTATCAGTTAGCCTTCTGAGCCAATGAGCAAACACATTGTACCATTAGAACACTGGAGTGATAGTTGCTGGAAATGGGCCTCTATACACCTATGTAGATATTGCACCAAAAAACAGACATTTACAGCTAGAATAGTCATTTACCACATTAGCAATGTATAGAGTGTATTTCTTTAAAGTTAAGACTAGTTTCAAGTTATCTTCATTGAAAAGTACAGTGCTTTTCCTTCAAAAATAAGGACATTTCAATGTGAACCCAAACTTTTGAACAGTATTGTAGATTTGGAAATGTGATCTTTAGGTGGGGAGGGAAGGGCAGAAAACATTTTTTTCTTAGATCCCTCATAACATCTTGGGATGTAGATATAGAGGCTATTATGTGAGCTTGGAGACTCAAGGAGCTACTGTCTGCTGTGGATATCTGCTTATTAACTCCTTAATTATCCTGCTCAGTGTGTGCTATGCCCATGTCCAGCATCCATTGATATATAGAATAGAAATAGAATAGAATTCATCTTTATTGTCATTACACTGTCACAAGTACAAAGCAACAAAATGTAGTTTGCATCTATCCAGAAGTGCTATACAGGATATAAATATTTATTTATTTACATGTCCGCAGAGACTATGTATGTGTTGACTGTGAATGGTATTTATAAACAGAGAGTAAACGTAAGAGACTATAGATATATAGATAAATAAACATGAAAAACTATATACAGATTATACAGGAAAGTTAGGATATGGATTATATATATATACATATTAGTGGGGCTATAATACAGGATAGATAATAGCAGACTTGCAGATGATATACAGCTATAGTTAACAGCAACAGCAAATATCGACATGTTGTTTTATAGATATGTTGTTATAAAAGATCCATAAGGAAAAGGCAGCAGGTTTGTCAGAGAAGTCTTCAATGTCTCGGTACGCCTTCGGCATCCAACAGCTGCCTCCCTAATCTAATACAGCTTCTGTATAATTAATGTCTATGGTGGTGGCTGCCTGTAACAGCCCTGCTCTGAGCGCTCTGAAAGCAGCGGCTGAAGAAGAAAAGGTTTTAGCATCAATTTATTTACCTTAATGAGTAGGATTAATAAAGAATTAAAAAACCATTTGTATTATTTTTTTTCACTTTGGTCGGGGGTAAAGGGTTTTGGTGCTATGGCTGCAATTTGTGTTTTCTTCAAATGTTGTGAGTCAGAGTTCACACCAATAAATATTTACACAGTAAATGCAAATAAGGAACAACTATGCTTCCTGTCCCCTGCATTGGATTTAGTTACTACTACTTTGTGCCCTATAGTGATATAAGATATGGGCCATGCAGGTAGTCACCCAGGGCGCCATGCTTTTTATGGGAAGCACAAGCGAGTTATGTTTGCTGTACTTCAGGAAACAGTCAGAGCAATTAACCACATGTCAGATTGATGCAGGTGGGCGTCCTTCTTTGTGATACCCAGTCTAGGCCATATTAGAACATAATGTTTTGCACAACTGCTGGCTAAAAAAAGATTAGCACCTGATTTATATCTTTTGTTGCTCAAATGACCTGGTATTTTAATGTTTTGAATGGTATCTAAAATTCCAGTGATCATCTTTAGTTTAGAAGCTAAAATATTCCGACTGATAGAACTAGATTGTGCTACATGAAACAGAGCGTCTGTATACAAATGCTGGTTTTAAAACAAAACGAAACAAAAAAAGAAAATATGCTATGTGTCTGTTTCGATGACCTCCGATTAGGACAATCGTAATCCTTTTATCGTCTAATCTGGAGTGAATTATTCAACTGTGAATGGCTAGTTCCTTCATAGATATGTTTTGTATTTTTATAAAAAGTTCCTTTATGTTTCTTGAATAGAAGAACAGAGTTCGAAAGAGTGTTTTCTTCAGCATGCCATCCATTCATGCAGGAGAGGTGGTGACATTTAAAAATGAATAGCAGTTTTTACTGAGTCAGAAGAAGGTTTTTACTCAAACCAAACAGGCACGCTTTAATCTTGGGTGTGCTTTGTTTGGGGACACGTTGAGCCATCTGGAAAATGATGGAATGCTGCCTTTCCAGAACAGGTTCCACATTCCTGTGTGAGAAACTCCACGCCCATCACTTCAAGACAAATAAAATGACAAGTTTTGCTCACCTTGTATTTAGTTAATAGTTATTTTATTAACAATGTAGGTTGAATTTAGGGCTTAAAGTGGATTTTCCCATCACTGGTAGCACCCAAGAGGTTAAAGAAAGCTACCAGGGAGACTTCCTGCAGGTGACAAATGATACCTGTCGCCTGGTGACTGTCATGCATGCTCTCCTCATTATTTACATACTGGATTGTTGGGTCTCCCATTGGCCAGGTGGAGATAGCAGGGTGGAGCAGCATCTCACACCACCGATTCGTAAGCAAAGGGGAGTGTCCTCCGAAATTAACAGCAGGATGAGACGAGGCGGAGGATGGAGCATTGATACGCCATTGTTAAATCTCCAACAGAATAACAAAAGGCCCTGATGAGAAGTAACACTGATCCCATGTTTGGTCTCATCAGGACAGCCTGGGGTCCCAGCAGGTGGGTGACTGCTGCAAGAAACCAGGAGAGGCAGCTGGTGGGTCGCCAAAAAGAATAAAAGCTGCTCAATTTAATACTCTGAAATGAAGAGAGGGGATTTCATCTGTGGAGGACGCAGAGCTCATGAGAACCATAGTAGATAATCCTCACAAAACAAGAAGTCAAATCTGTTTTCATGGCCTTTTTTAATTTTTTTTTCTTCTTTCCACATATCATTGAGTGCACAGCATTACAATAACCCCATGCAAAGCTTTCTAGATCAGCAAACAGATTGAGTTTAATTAACAGCTTATTTATCACCCATAGCTTATTTATCCCCCTAATCCTGAAATGTGTGTTGTTGTTTTTTAATTGTTAAGGCCAAACAGCTGGGATGAAAGTTTGAATTTAATATTAAGTCCTTCATCTTGATCGCGTTCTTCACAAACTTCTATTTTGATCCATACAAAGGCGAGTACATTTGTTTCCAAATAAATTAAACATAGTGTTATAGAAAGGAAACTTTTTCACCATGTAAAAAAAAAAAATCAACTTCTGGTAGTAATAGTATTTCCTACTTTTTTTGTATCAAATATCCTTTGACCATCAATGTTGGGTATAATCTTTTGCCCCCAGCCCAATCAGATGGACTCAAACATCTCGTCGGTTTGAAATCAGGAAATCAGATGATAAGAAAATCTATATTTTTTAAATTTTTCTTGAAGAAGCTTTGAGGTATTTCTGTGTAAATATGAAGTTTCCCTCACGACTTTGTGTCTTTCCTTTCTCTCTCTCTAAAACAGATGTCATGTTCCTATAATCACCTATAATCATTTACTGGAAGGTTAACAGTTACTTGATCTTGCTTTGAACATTTATTTTATCTTGTTATTTCATTTCAGTCTGATTCATTTCGTTGACCCTTAAATAAATCAAAAAGGTAGGTTTTAGAAATTCTGGACTGCAGAAAAATGTGAGGCAGAAATGACCTCATTTTGAACTTTTTCTCATTAACTTGGCTTAGCAAGCATTCGGCCTGCGGCACCGACTCCGATCAAACCCAGTGCATAACAAGCCCCCTGCCTGCCCTTCCTGCTGTCAGGAACTCTACTTATTTTGTCCAACTTTGTTTAGTCGGGAAATAGAGAGAAAACTGTTGTCTAGAAAACAACTTTATCTGGAACTGTAAGCATCTTCCCCTGAGAATCTGTGATGGATATATAAATGTGTCGGAACTATAAAGATATAGCTGAGTCATTGGGTAAATACTGACTTAAGAGTGAAGAAAATATTCCTTCCGTACATTCAGAGTTTTTCATATCTTACAGATGAGGTCACTGATCTGTTTTAGTTTAATCTACTTTAGCTTGTATCCCATGTGAGTAAAGGCATAATAATGTGTCATTTACAAGCCAGATAAACTATGACTCATTAGACAAACAGTGGTCTGATAACAGTAGCCTGGCTCATATGGACCAAAGGAGTGGGACTCAGAGACACAGGTCTCCATCTGGATCATACTGTCCTATTAGAGACACACATATTGTAAACCCAGCAAAATGTGTAATTCCAATGTGATAGCTCTACTACACACCACTGATAAGAAGAAAAGCCCAGCATCTGGGTTATGATAAAAACAGAGAGGTTATCAGAGGTTTATGACTAAGGAAGAAACAGAGTTTGTGAGTAGAAAATATTTCTTTAAGTTGAGGATAATGGCCTGAGGCTGGGCTCACAAGTAAAGGTTAAGGTTAGTGCATATATGTAACCTTTCCTTTGAACAGGCTAAATTCATCTACTGACATAATAAAACGACGTTGAAATTTGGTTAATGTGCTACAGATGTTTGTTCCCACAGTTATTTAACTATACAGCTTATTGTGGGTGGATCTATTTTGTTGTTCAGCAATATCAGAATCAGGAGGAATTTCTGGGTTCGTTCCTAAAGCGAAATCATGTAAGAAACGTCTGTAAAATAGCCTCTTTATTTGACCCTTTATGACTAAAACATCGCTGGATGAGCAGACTGACACCTCAGCAGATAAGCACCAATGCATCTAAGCCTGTAACCTATTGTCCTGAATTTAATGCGGGTTAGAAATTCCCTGTTGTCTGTATTTGTCCTTTTAAGAAGATTCTAGCATTAATAGCTTGAACAGAAAACTTTAGTCCATTTTTGTGTTAATCACATATTCACATTTTTAAACTAGATTTCTTGTGAAATAAATCATTTTTGCAAAAGACCAGAATTTAACGAGGCTAGTTGTCCGGTTTGAAAATGATTTACTGCTTACAGTCTTTTGCGCATACACATAGCATAATGCTGCCATGACCGTGTTTGTAATGTGGATGTTGTTTTCAGGGTGACGTGATTCATCGAGCCATTTGCTGAAGGAAAACGTTCACATTTGGACTCATCTAATGGCAACTCTGTCTTTCTCATGTGTGCTGTGTCTCCTTCTTGATGTGGCAGGCTGTAAATGGGACCTTTTATGCCTAATTTTCGTCCACTGATAGATTTCTTCTAATTTCCTCCTCTTTCATAAAGACATGAAATGTGCAGGTCCCATCGAACAGCTGTCCTGTCGCCAAAGTCCACTTGATCCGTAGAACTTCGTAGTTTCTCCAGAGTCGCAATGCGGGTGATGCATGCTTTGTGAATTCATGCTTTCTTTTAATGTCCACCTTTTCATCACTTTGCATTTGTGTTAACTTCATTTGTGAATGATATAATCCAGTTCATGATCAAATCTTTGCTTCTGGTATTGTTTTATTACCAAATCCTCTTTAACATTCTATGCAACTTTATCCGTTACCTGTGTGGTGTCTCTCCTAGTCTTTGTGATGTTTGATGAATGCGTGCTGGACTACATTTACTAAATGAATAAATCCTCTTGGTATTCTGTTGCTTTTGATTTTCTTTTTAGCTCTGAGACAAAAAGAGGCTGGATAGAAATGCCAGCTACTTTTATTTTTTATTTTTTTTTATTCATGTTTGTGTTTGTAATATAAATGAAACTGGAAAAGTTCAAGTAGGTGAAAAATAAAATGGCTTTTTGCACACCGTTTTATAAGTATACATACTAAACTTAGAGGTAAAAATGTAATTTAAGGTAATAGTTGTAACCAGCTCACTCATTGGTTATTTTGTGATCCCTGTGTGGCAAACTTACCAATAAGAGGGCTAGTTACATCTGACGCACACTCTGATTGGTTTAGCTTGTTTTCAGTGTTCAGGAACCAGAAATGTGATGGAAACTGTAAATGGAGAGGGTCAAATGCTAAGTGAAGAAGAACATATCAATGGAAAAAGAATTTACCCTTTTAGAATAGAATAGAAAATCCCTTTATTGTCCCACAATGGGAAAATTCTGGCATGGGCGAAGGTTTGCATAGGGACCATATGGACATGTCCCGACCAACATTTTGGACCGACCTACTTGTCTCTATCAACAATTAGATGTGAATAACAGGTTTATAATTTACAATACAGCTTTGTTGCAGCAGTAGAGTTCTGGATGGAAAATATTGACAGACAAAAACATCTTTTATCTAAAATGCAAAATGTTTTGATATATTTTTTTTACATTTTTGGTATAATTCCTGCTGTAAGTGGGTCACTCTGTGAGCTAGACATGTTTTAGAGTCTCTATACTCAAGTTAACCATTAATCGATTACTAAATTTGTTGAAATTTCAATAATTGATTATTCCGATGAATTGTTTCAGAGCAAGATAAAATACATAATATGGGTTAAATAGAGTAACTACAGCCTAGATGACTTCTAGAGTGAAATTAATGTTCTAAATGCTCAGTGTCAGTTCCAGTGCTCATGTAAATACAATAAATGTATTTGGTGTCCTTTGATTTTTTTTTTTTGTTTTTTTTTTTGTTCCGGGGGGAATTTTTAAAAATTAGGGTTGGTTTTTCGTTTTTTTTCCTTTTGCGAATTCAAAATAAAAAAAAACGGATAAAGTCACAAATAACAGACATATTTAGACTATATTTTGTTAAATAGGCACAGATTTACTTTCTGTCTTAGTCGCTGGTAATTTAAAATGCAAACCTTTTCAAAGCGGAAAAAACATCCTAATTCCTCATTCATCAGAGCTGCTGATGCTTCAAACATTGATAAACAGCATCTAGTGTCTGTAGCACGTATAAAATTTGTACAAATGTAGACAGGAAATGCTGCTTTTCTCTTTAAACAAAATACACCCTGATTTTCATGTCAAGCATAAAAAAACGAGCATGCATATTTTTGCATAGGACAAATAACATCAGACCAATAGTGTCCCTACCAAGGTTGAAATTAAACCTATGCCCTTGAATTCTGTTGTTTATTGCTGAAAAAGGTTTTTGGAAATTTTTTTCCCTTAATTTTGACCTTTGGAAAATGTATAAGAATAACATAATAGTGACAAGTTTAAAGATAAAAAAGAAAATACTGTACTGTAAAGTGTAAAGAAGTATAAGAAAATAAAGTTTCTATCTGTGCTTGAAAAAAGTGTTTGTAACCAGATTTATGAATTGTAGTGTTAAATCTCCATTCAGAAACAGAGCTTTAAAATACATTTTTGAATTATTTATTTTATTTTGAATAATTTCTATTTAATAATTGTAATTATTATTATTGTATAATTTTTAATTTTCGAAATAGTTAATAACGGATTAATATATATAATTATTATATATTATATATAATTATTTATAAAATGTACGATTATTTTTTTTTCTTTTTTATTTGAGTCTCTAATTGTATGATTTAAATGTTTTTATTTATTTTTTTGGTGCTCCACATACAGGGACATCCTCATCCTCCTCGCTGTAATATATTTACCAATGGCTCCCTCTAGCGGTACCTGGGATTATTACCGCCTCCGCGGCCAGCCCTTCTCCGCTCAGGTGAAGCTGTTTAATATTTCACCTGGAAAACACCACGTCACGTTAGCTCCAGGAAAGAAACCTCACTGGTTTCTGTGCTCCCACGGGTCGGATGCTTTTCTCTGGTTTTCATGGTGAAACCGAGGTCTGACGAGCCGAGCTGAACTTTACTCTGAGTTGTTTTTTAAATAAATATCCAACCTGCGCACCGAGCACAATGTCTGCCTCCGCAATATTTGTGCTGGATTTGAAGGGGAAGGTAAGTTAAACGCCGGAGTTGATAATAACAGTCACTTTTAATGTTCCTTTTGACTGCTGGTTGGAGTTAAAAAATATAACTCCAAACAACTTCTTGTACTGTTGCTGTAAAACATTAATGGCGCCGTTAAAAATTAATGGAAAGCTTGCGACAGCTAGTGACCCTTTTCTCGTTACTTCCGGATTGTGTTGAAAACGTAAAAAAACACGCAGAGGTGCAACACCTGTTCCTCCTGGAGGTGCATCAGCATCATGGTCCTTCTATGGAAGCAAATCTTTACCATATTTCAAATGAAAAAAGCATTTTCAGAAATGCTTTTTCATTTTAAGAATGTGGCTGCATTGTTTGACTCATAGATGAAATCTGTACTCAATAATCCTGTTTGCATTTTCATTTTCTTCTTCAACACGGCTCATCCTTTTACTTAATTAAAATGAAAAAGAAAAATAAATTTGAGATTTATTTTTCAAAATGCACCCCAGCAAATACATACCAAAATTCAATTTGAAATGTAAAATTTAAAAATGAAAAAGCATTTCAGGAATGCTCTTCTGGTATTTATTTTGCGGTTTGAAACATATTATGAGTGTATTTTTTACCAGCCGTCTAATGAACTATACACAGTTATTAACATAGTTATTAAAAGTACCACTGTCAGCTTTGCTATTGGTATCGTGTGGAAACAGTCACTTCAGTATCAGGTGGGTTTGAGAGGAATTTTTCGCACCGTTACATCTGCATAGAGACATCCTGGTCTACAATTGCGTAGGGGACCCTCCAGGTGTCCAGCAACTGCTGTCTCTGCTTACTGATATTTACGCCATTGTGTGGTTTTCTCTGTTCTCACTGCTCAGGTGCTGATTTGTCGTAACTACAAAGGCGATGTGGACATGGCAGAGATCGACCACTTTATGCCTTTACTCATGCAGCATGAAGAGGAAGGGCTTCTCAGTCCTGTGATGTCCCACGGCAACGTTCATTTCATGTGGATCAAGCACAGCAACCTCTACCGTATCCTCTAAATGTTTGTGTCTGCGTTATAGGTTTGAACATGACATGCCCTGCCATTGTACAGCACAGTTTTAGGATAATCCTTGACTTGCTCTACTCTCAGTTGTGGCCACCACCAATAAGAACTCCAACGCCTCGCTGGTTTACTCGTTTCTTTACAAAATAGTTGAGGTAATTGAGACATGCAGTTTATTTTGTTATACGTTGAACAAGAAGGTTTAAAAGTATATTGTTCTTTTATAAAGTTGATCAAATCGGAAACCAAATGCGGTTTGCAAAGATGAACTCCAAACTTATAGTTTCTGATATTTTCCGCAGGTGTTCACAGAGTACTTCAAAGAGCTGGAAGAAGAAAGCATTCAGGATAATTTTGTTGTTGTTTACGAGCTGCTTGATGAACTGATGGACTTTGGGTTTCCTCAGACCACTGAAAGCAAAATCCTGCAAGAGTGAGAGTCCCCACATATTCAAAGATTAAAAGAAAGTGTTTTTATAATAATGTTGTTTTTATTTTATCCCAGATACATAACTCAGGAAGGTGCTAAGCTTGAGGTGGCAAAGACCAAGGTCCCCACCACCGTCACCAACGCCGTTTCCTGGCGGTCTGAGGGCATCAGATACAAAAAGAACGAGGTTTTCATTGACGTCATTGAGTCCATCAATGTCCTGGTAAGATGAGTAATGAGGTTCAGCTCTCCAGTACTGGGGTGGTT